ATCTAGTTTCAAAAAGCATTTGTAAAATAATGAAACTTCCAAAATTGTCAGTGTTAATTGGCTTGATTTTGATATTTTTTTTCTGAATATAACTGCAACACCTTTAGCATTAGAGTTTCCATGGCTAAAAAAACATAAACCATTCCATTCAGAGTAGACTTTTCTTGTAGACGTATATCAGCTTTTTTGTATTGAATAAATTGAAAACATCACACCAGTTTATGCTATCATTCCAACCACTGCATTTGTTAGAAAAAAAATTAAGATTAGATATTGAATATAAGAATCAAAATATATTTATTTATCCAGTTTCCTTTATAACTACAGCTGATTTAAATAGATATATAAACCCAGTTAGAAGACATAAAGCACACCAAAAGGTTCAGTAGATGTGTAAACATAGAGAAAATAATCAAAGCACAGAAGGCGCTGAATTTGTTTGGGTCTCAGAATGTCAAAAAGGTGAAGGTTGTGAGATTATAAACCAGTTTGTTTTTGTATAGTGCCACCAATGCTTTCCAGTGTTTAAACTGTAGTAAATTGGCTATAAGACTAACTGCAACACTGATAGTCAATTCATTGTTTATTTGACTTAAAAAAATGAGTTGCCTCAACTGGGATTTGAACTCGGGACCTCTCGAATCAAAAGCGAGCGTGCAAACCCCTCGGCCACAGTGAAGTTCTATGTACATGGATTGAAAAAAACATATCATTCTAATTTAGGGTTTGTAACTCTTATTATTTCGACGCTCAACACAGATGTAATTAATCATGGAGCTTACTGTAAGCATGTATATCTATAAAGATTGAAACAATATTTAAGAAATCTTCGACCATTCGGGAACTACTTTGCTTGAACATTAATGCGCCTGTCATTTGACAATCTTTACGCATTGATCTCCCCTGAATTTTCGGCGTAAGTGTACATGTAAAGGGAAGTAACCGCTTCAAAAAAGTGGACTACTTTAAGCATATTCAATTTACAGCAATAGGCTCTGAAATTTCGCTACCATTATTTGTTTGGTCTGACGACCCAAACAAATAGAAAAAGCCAGACTAGAGTATAACAAAATAAACAATCTGAGAAAGATATTATAACAAGAACTGTCTGAGGACAGTATTGGCTAGACTATTCCAAAACGTTGTCACAGGGGTGTTTTATTGAGTATAACTATGCTAATTACCTTTGAATACATAAAATTGACCGAAAAGGTACAAAGGCTTGTTATTCAGATTATGACCCTAAGTACATGTGTAAGGTTTCAAGAAAATATCTTTGAAAAACTTTAACTTTTCAATTGAAGTTTCAATTGAATATCTCAAGCAATTATTGAAATATTTGACTTTACAAAAAACTTAAACCAAAATTTCTAAGTTAAAAAGGGGCATAATTCTGTAAACATTGTAGGCAGAGTTATCCAACTTGACAATCTGATGTACCTTGTTACTATAAATAAGTATTGTAAGTTTCAAATGAATATCTCAAGCAATAATTGAGATATTTGACTTTTAAAACAAAACTTTAACCAACACAGACGCGGACACCAATGCCGACGCCGGGCGACTACAATAGCTCTCATATTCTTCGAATAGTCGAGCTAAAAAGGAAAACATAGTTTACAAAGATAAACATGAAAAGAATGAACAAAAATATGAACAGAAAATAAACTAGATAAACAATAAGTAACAGCATAACTCAAACAATTTGTACAATTACATATGGTAAGGCAGCTTTAAACAACATAATTTTCAACTATAAATGTATTTTTATTTTAGAAAAACCTTATTTTGCGTACAGTTATTTATGAATATAAACCTGTAGTTTTATCAAAATCTTTTTAGGATTTTTCTCAATTAATTTTGGGGCGTCCGTGGCCGAGAGGTTAAGGTCGTTGACCTCAAACCACTTGCCCCTCACCACTGTGGGCTCGAATTCTGACAAGGACTTTGGATTCTTCAAGTGAGGAAGCTATCCAGCTAGCTTACGGAACGTCAGTGGTCCTACTCAGGTGCCCGTTGGTGCCTGAAATAATGCACGGAAGGGCACTTACCTCCAAGGCACAAATGTTTGTTATAATAAGACAATGTGTCATGCGCAACAACCAGACCTAAACCTCCAAGGTCAAGGTCGCACTTGCTCATTCAAGTTCAACATTGTCTATTTGATGGTATAATTATGTCGTGTCCGGTCCGTAACTTTCTTATCTTTGAAGGGATTTTGTTATACGTGCCAAAATTGTTCACAATAATGAGACAATGTGTCATGCGCAACAACCGGTCACTTACCTCCAAGGTTAAGGTCACACTTGAAGGTCAAAGATTAACATAGTCTAATACAGGGTACATTTGTGTCCGGTCCATGACTTTTTCATTAATCAAAGGAATCTGAAATAACTTGGCACAAATGTTTATTATAATAAGTCAATGTTTCATACGCAAGAACCAGACCCCTACCTTCAGGGTCAAGGTCGCACTTGCTCATTCAAGGTCAACATTGTCTATTTGATGGTATATGTCGTGTCTAGTCCATAAATTTCTTATCTTTGAAGGGATTTTGTAAATACTTGCCACAATTGTTTACAATAATGAGACAATGTGTCATGTGCAACAACCGTTCACCTACCTCCAAGGTCAAGGTCACACTTGGTGGTAAAAGATTAACATAGTCTATTAAGGGTTTTGTTTTGTGTCCGGTCCATAACCTTTTCATTTATCAAAGGAATCAGAAATAACTTGGCACAAATGTTTGTTATAATAAGACGATGTGTCATGCGCATCAACCAAACCCCTACCTCCAGGTTCAATGTCGCACTTGCTCATTCAAGGTCAACAATGTCTATTTGATGGTATATGTGGTGTTTCGTCCATAACTTTCTTATCTTTGAAGGGATTTTGTAAAATAGAGAAAGCAACAATCCCCAAAGAAAGTCCAACACATCATAATTGAAAATGTTGCAGGCTCGGTTTGATTGAGCCTGTTCATGGACGGTACGGTACAGTAAAGTACAAACTACCGTCCACGCCCTCTAGCACCGGCTTAAACAGAATTCAACATTTAAAATGAATTGGTACAATTTTGAATTTTGAAACATCCGCAGATGTGTTCATATGGCGGTTATCATGGAACCTTCAATGTGACACTAAGTGCCATTCCATGAAAAGCGGCATATGGTCCCCAAGTAAAAAATGCGTGTGCCCTAAACGAGAAAACAATGGGCGGAACTAAATAAAATGGAATTTTGAAAGGGGATCAGAGGTTATGAAGCCTGCATATCACAGATTATACGCCAAAAGACAAATTTAAAAAGCAGACCACATATCCTAGCCTTAGGTTGTTGCGCATGACACATCGTCTTATTATAATAGTTACCACAATTGTTCACAATAATGTGACGATGTGTCCAGTCCATAACTTTTTCATAGATGAAATGATTTTGTAAATACTTGCCACAAATAGTCACTATAATAAGACAATGTGTCTTGCGCAACACCTGCATCCCCACCTCCAAGTTCAAGTTCACACTTAGAGGTCAAACGTTAACATAGTCTGTTTTAGAGTATATTTTGTGTCTGATCTAGAACTTGTTCAGGATTTTGAAATAATTAGGCACACATAGTCACAATGATAAGATGATATGTCATGCATAACACATGTGTCCGTACCTCCAAGGTCAAGGTCACACATAGAGGTCAAAGATTTACATAGTCTGTTATAGGGTGTATTTTGTGTCCAGTCCATAACCTGGGATTTTAAAAATACTTAGCACAAATAATCACAATAATAAGATGAAATGTAAGGCGCAAAACATGGGTCCGTACCTCCAAGGTCACACTTAAAGGTCAAAGATTGACATAGTCTGATATAGGGTATATTTTGTGTCTGATCTATGACTTCTACATTGTTATAGGGATTTTGAAAATACTTGGCACAAATAGTAATATTAATAAGATGATATGTCATGCACAACACATGCACCCCTACCTCCAAGGTCAAGGTCACTCTTAGAGGTCAAAGGTTAACATGATAGAATTTTAAATTCCGTGTTTCATTTAACTAGTATTTCTTTTATAAATTTATTGTTGCATTTGCAGATCTAGCATTGATTATAATTTTGGACTGAAAGTCCTGAAATCCATACCTCAATCTTTTGAAATAGCACAATTTTATGTTTCATATAAAACTTCTCCGAGGGACGTTGGTAACTCTGTTACAAATTCTTGTTAGCATGTTAGAATGGAAATATATGTTAACTATTCGTGCATTATAGCATTACAATGTACAGTTTATCTTTCAAATAGTAATTAATTTCTCTGACTGAACTGGAACTGTGCATTTTTTTCTACAATAAAGCACTTGAAATTGATATCTGTTTCCTAAATATAAAAAAATCAATAAGATATCCTGTTAAAAGTTTGTCATGCAAGTGTATCATCCATAACTGCTTAAAACTTAGTATAATGTGGACATTCTGCCCCCAACCTCACCCATAAATTGTATCCTTGGACATTAGCCCAAGTTGAAATCTTTAGGTGGACAATTTGCTCTTCAAGTTTGAATTTTATGTTTGCTAATTATTACTGTATGTTACATGCATTAAAAGTTATTTTTTGCTAAAAAACTTTTTAAATTTTTGGGTTAATTCCAATTTCATCTTTCTTGTTATCGTTGGTTTCTTTTTCCCTGAACTATAAATTTTATTTGGGAGCAAAAAAGTCCAAGGGTTAATTTTTCCCTTTTATGTATCAGCCCTTATGATTTTTTTAAAATGGAGGGCAAAATTTCCGTGTGGTCAAATGTCCTTGTACTAACTAGACACATGTCTTCATTCTTCAGGATTATGTTGGTCTTAGAATGTCCAAGACTCATACTCATAAATAAAGCATGGATTCTAAGTAAATTATCCCTCGTTATGAATTTTGTTTGAATATTATCAAATCTCACTTAACTTAAAAAAGGTTATGTGTCCATCCTATATTTTTAACATACATTATCGTTATAGATGACAGAGAGAATGAAGATATTGCAGGAGCTAGAGGAAACAGTTCACCACTTTTCAGCTCTTCTAGTAGACCTGATGAAAATGAAACTGGTGACTGTGCTGGTGACTATGTCAGATTAAAAGATGTAATTCATGCAAATGAAGATGCAACTCCTGTCTATGTTAATATAGCAGGTCAGGATGATGCTGTGAGGTCGGATGAACAGATGGCAAAGGAAACAAGTTTAATTTCCGGTAAGTCAAAGACTATAATTGGAAATTCCCATACTCAGAAAGTTACACACAGATCATCTAAGACAGTATCTTGTGGCAATGAGGATGAAAAATTTAATGATGATTCCCTCTCATTATCTAATATTTGTCAAATGAAAAAATTCAGATCAGCAGCTGTACCTGGAAGAGAAGACATGCTGAAACCTCAAAAGGGGCATGACCTGCATAAAGCTTCAGTACAAACTGTAAAACAAAGTTCTACAAAGATGGTAAAAGGAATATTAATGGTAAATCTGTGTGGTAAAGATCTAGGAGATTCAAGTCAAAGCAATCTTCACTCAAGCACTGAAGATCCTGATGTTGATGAACTTGCAACATCATTTAACACTCAACTTTATCTAAATGGCAAGTTTAATAAGCCAGTTATCTTTCATTTACTGAATAAAACAATAAACTTGCAACATCACTAAACACTCTTAAAATAAGTGCCAAGTTGACTTTCATTTATTGAATAAAGCAAAGATAGATTATTTGAAATATAATATTTCCGATTAAAAGAACATATGTATTTAATTAGGGTACACAAATTCAAAATCCATCATTTTTTTAGCTCACCTGACCACGAAGTGATCAAGGTGAGGTAAAGTGATGGAGCTATGTCCGGCGTCCGTCGTCGTGCATCGTGCGTCGTCAACAATTGGGTTGTTAACAGTCTAGCAGTCACAGTTTTGATTGGATCGTCTTCAAACTTTGTCAGAATGTTTGTCTCAATGAAATACAGATCGAGTTCGAAGATGGGTTATCACGGGTCAAAAACTAGGTCACAGGAGCTAAAAATAGAAAAAGCTTGTTAACACTTTAGTGGCTGCAGTTTTTATCCCAATATTCTGGAAATTTGTCAGGAAGGTTGTTTTGATGATTTCTAGGTCAAGTTCGAAGATGGGTCATCTCCGGTCAAAAACTAGGTCACAGGAGCTAAAAATAGATAAAGCTTGTTAACACTCTAGTGGCTGCAGTTTTCATCCAAATATTCTGGAAATTTGTCAGAAAGGTTGTTTTGATAATGTCTAAGTCAATTTTGAAGATGGGTCATCTCCGGTCAAAAACTAGGTCACAGGAGCTAAAAATAGAAAAAGCTTGTTAACACTCTAGTTGCTGCAGTTTTGATTCAAATATTCTTGAAATTTGTCAGGAAGGTTGTTTTGATGATTTTTAGGTCAAGTGCGAAGAAGGGTCATGTCTGGTCAAAAACTAAGTCACAGGAGCTAAAAATAGAAAAAAGTTGTAAACACTTTTATGGTTGCAGTTTTCATCCAACTATTCTGGAAATTTGTCCGGAAGGTTGTTTTGATGATTTCTAGGTCATGTTCGAAGATGGGTCATCTCAGGTCAAAAACTAGGTCACAGGAGCTAAAAATAGAAAAAGCTTGTTAACATTCTAGTGGCTGCAGTTTTCATCTAAATATTCTGGAAATTTGTCAAGAAGTTTGATTTGATGATTTCTCAGTCAGGGTTGAAGATGGCTTATGTCTGGTCAAAAACTAGGTCACAGGAGCTAAAAATAGAAAAAGTTTGTTAACACTCTAGTGGCTGCAGTTTTCATTTAAATATTCTGGAAATTTGTCAGGAGAGTTGTTTTGATGATTTTTTAGGTAAAGTTCGAAGATGGGTCATGTCCGGTCAAAAACTAGGTCACAGGAGCTAAAAATAGAAAAATCTTTATAACACTCTAGTGGCTGCAGTTTTTATTTAAGTATTCTGGAAAATGGTTTAGGAAGGTTGTTATGATGATTTCTAGGTCAAGTTTGAATATGGATGTGTCTGGTCGAAAATTAGGTCACATTGCCCAAATATGGAAAAACCGTTTTAACACACTAGAGGTCACATGTTTGACTCAGTTGTCATCAAACTTGGCCATGATGCTTGTCTAAGACATTGCTTGGATGCGGTTGTGTCAGGTGAGCGATCCAGGGCCATCAATGCCCCTTTTTTTCATTCTAAGAGGCAAGAAATCATAATACAATAATTTTATGTTTAAAAGGAGACTGACTGAATAATTAAGTGAAATCAGTTTAGTCAATCATTAGATTAAGGTCCTTGTATGATATACCGATGGGTCAATTGTATATCTGCTGTATTTTTAAAGTGACACACAACCAAAATAAAAAAAATGTATTTTAAAAATTCAAACTTAAGAATACTGTAACTTCATTTACAAAATTTGTTAAATATTAACAATCCAGGTGCAACTAATATTTCTAGCAAAATGTGACATAATTACTATTTTTATTGCCAAAGTTCACAAAAATATAAGTTATAGTAATTTATGAATGATATGACAATTTAACAAAGGTTAAATCACTTATTTTGTATAATTGACAATATGCTTATCCATTAGAAAAAGTGTTAGTTTTCATGAAAAAAAAAACATAAATCCTGAGGTGTGCGGCAGGCTGAGCTTTAATGCACATATATTTATATACAGTTTGACTTCACATTAAAAGTCAGGAAACCTGTAGATATTTTATTGTCATTCTCTGCTAATTTTTTTCTTGCAGAAAAAAGTGATAGTAAAAATATTTTTAGACAAAAGAACAATACAACAAATGTAAAATGAAGTGCTAAAATTTTCACAATGTTTTCAGGTATTATTATTAGATATTATTATTTAAAAACATTTTTGTCTTGTTAAGATTCTGATGCAGATACTGCTGGGAGCTTACCACCAACTGATGACCAACAAATTGCAGGCCAACATAGAGCATCTGGACAAGCAGGTATCGTTAGATTTCTTTTTCTGATAATTTATGGTGCATAGTATGAAATTGTTGAAATTTGTAAGAAATTTTTCAAAGAGGCGAATGTCAGATTCATGCTTGACTAAACAATTGTTTTCTCAAGACGGTTTCATTTGGTAACACATTTGTGCAGAGATTTTCTTTTGCTGTGATAAAACAATTTATTCAAGGCTTATATCTAAAATCAAAATTTTGTGGTCAAATGAAAGAGTAAATATCTGGTAAATGCTTTAGAGATAATACTCTTTTATTTCACTGCAGATAATTTGCTGCACAATTGAAAACTTACATCAGATAGACATGCTTAATTGTACTTGAAATGTTTTCGAAGTATTTGATGTTTTGGGCATAGTAATATAGTTTTTACTTGTACAAAAATTTGTAAGGTCAGCTTAAATTATACTTAAAAGACAGTTCTGCAGTAAGTAAAAGTATCTCATCCCATTTGTTAACTTCAGTCAGACGTCATGGCCATCACATGTCTGCTGTTAAATTATTTCACAGGACTTGAAGACATTTGTAATGATATTGCAAGCATTGCTGATATGTTGATATGTCTCTTGAATATGATAGTTGTTTACTCTTTATAGAAAAAAATGGTGTCTTGAGAAGTCTTTCAGAAAGTTATTAAATGGAGTATAGTACATTTAAAAATGAGAAAAGAAGTGGAATCTATTTTGCAGGTGAGGGAATATGTTTGACAAAGTTTAATGAGGAATTAGAAAAGAAGAAGAAGGAAAACATTACACATACTATTGAGAGAGAGGAGAAGGAATACATTACACACAATATTGATAATCATTTAGGAAAGGGAATTGAAAGCACAAAGTTAGATGAAATTCTACACACAGCAGAAAAGGATCATGATGGACATGTAAAAATTGAAAAAGTGAAATATAAAGATACAACACCAGGCAACCATCTGACAGCTACAGTTTTAGGACCCTTATTGAAAGATGATTTACAAGATTGTTTGTATACACAATGGACTTTAGAAACATGTACATTAACACTAGTTGAAAGCAAGCCATATTTACCCAGTGCAGATGTTGTTCTTGTACCTGTGTATGGAAATGCTAAATCTGGTAAAATAAAAATAAAAATATTCTGTATTTCACTAGACAAAATTAGATGTTTAAGACTTTTTGGAATTGTATGTACAAATGCCATTATCTCATATTAGTTACATTGTGTTGGATAAAAATGTCAACTTAAGGGAATTATTTCATTTGGCATTGAAGCATTTTTATACCCCGAAACGAAATTTGGGAGGGGGCAGGGCGTATATAGAAGTTGCCCAGTTGTTGGTCAGTCGGTTGGTTGTTCAGTCTGTCCAGCAGTCCGTTGCATTTTCCTTTTCCAGAGTAAACTGTGAAGACTGATGGTTGGAATTCAATACAACTTCATACAATTGTTAAACACAATAATAGTAAGTGCAGTGCTCAAGAATCAAAACTCCATCATGACAAATTACAGAGTCATTGCCCATTGATACTTTTACTTGTCGCAGAGCTAAACTTGAAAACTACTGTTTGGAATTTAGAACAACTTCATACAATGGTCACTCACAAAAGAGGAACTGCAGTGCACAAACACCATAACTCTAATTAAAGTAATTACTGAGTGATTGCCCTTTTATCCTTCCTTTTTTTCTTGACCAGAGCATTACTTGAAAACCACTTGTTGGAATTAAATACAATTTTATTCAATGGTCAAGCACATTAAGAGAAAGTGCAGTGCTTAAGAACTATAACTCCATCTTGACTTATCTCTGAGTTATTGCCCTTTGATACTTTTCCTTTTCTGGAGCATAGCTAAATGAATAGTGCTGGTTGGAATTTAAAACAACTCCATATAATGGTCAAGCATAACAAGAGGAAGTGCAGTGCACAAGAACCATAACTTTATCTAAAATAATTATAGAGTTATTGCCTTCTGTTGCTTTTCTGTTGCATTTTCCTTGTCTGGAGCATAACTTGAAAACCACAAGTTGGAAAACAACTTCATTTAATGTTCAAACACGTTGAGAGAAAGTGCAGTGCACAAAAAACATTACTCCATCTTGACTAATCACAGAGTTATTGCTTTTAATTACTTTTTCTTGTCCAGTGCATAATTTGAAAACTAATGGTTGGAATTCAATGCAACTTCATACAATGGTCGAGCACAACAAGAGGTAGTGTAGTGCATAAGAACCATTACTCTTTCTAGAGTAGTTATAGAGTGATTACTCTTTATTCCTTTTCCTTGTCACGGAGCATAACATTAAATCTACATGTTGAACTTCAAAACAAGATTGTACAATGGTAAAGTAAATTGAGAGAAAGTGCAGTGTAAAGGAACCAAAACTCTCTCTTGACTAATTTTAGAGTAATTGCCCTTTTTTACTTTTGTTACTTTCTTGTCCATTGCATAAATTGAAAATTAATGGTTGGAATTCAATGCAACTACATACAATGGTCAAGTGCAGTGAAATGAAGTGCACTGTTCAAAAATCATAACTTCATTTGGACTTATTACATTGTTATTGCCCTTTGTTACTTTTTCTTGTCTAGTTCTTAACTTGAGCAGTTGCAACTTCATACATTGGTCAAGCACAATGAGAGGAAGTGCAGTGTACAATAACCATAACTCCATCTCAAGTATTTGCAGAGTTATTGCTCTTTGTTTCTTTTCCTTGTCTGGTGCATTACTTATCAACTAAAGTTTAGAATTCAATGCAACTGGCACAATGAGAGGAAGTGCAGTGTTCAAGAACCATTACTCTATCTGGACTTATTACAGGGTAATTCAATTAAACTTCATCAATGGGCAACCACATAGTAAGGAAATGCAACATACAAAAACCACAACTACCTTTAATTGCCCACAATCATAACTATTTCAATTCTTTTACAAGGTACATGTATTCTGTTACTTACTTCCACAATTCAAAGCAGTCTTGTTGGGGGTATTAATCACATTTAGTGATAGCTCTAGTCTAAGTTAATTGCTACTTAATGTTTGAATGATTTTTGTTCAACTGTCTTTATAGGTAGCTAGATTAAATATATTGAACACTGGAATTAAATTAAATATCTTCAACACTTATTAAATGAATTTATTTTAGAATTTTTATCACATCAAGCAAGTTGTATAACATGAAACATTTACTAATCTTTTTAGGTCTGTTACAAGGATATAGAAAGAAAATTGATGTACCAATCCCGCAGTCATACATAACCAGAAAAAAATTTACAGCTACAATAGAAAGCTTTGTTTGCAGATATCTCTCGGATGAAGCTTGCATATCTGTTCATATAGAATCATCACCAATAGATGTATGGTCAGGATACAAGTATGTCAAGCAAATTCTGGATTCTTTAATTGAGTGGAAGAAAAAGTCAATGGGTTCAAGAAAAGACATAGTGCTTTGTTGCTGTAACAAAGTTGTCTATCATAAGTGCTTAGAAAGTTGCCAAGAATTATTGTGTTCCAAAGGCATGTATGAAACAGTGCTGTCAATAAACAAAGGCAAGTTTTCTATCAAATTTTTCTATTTAAATTATGATTTTGCAACATTGTCAAAATAAATAGATTTGAAAATTTCTTGATGATGATTGTTTGAAAATCACTGGAAGGGCCAGTGTGAACTAAATTTAACATGTGGCATTGCCTTTTTTGACCTTTACAAAACTGATATGAATCATACCCCTTGGTTTAGTATGGGCCCCGCCCAGGGGATCACTTGTAGACTGATAAAGGAAAACAAATGTGAGGCTTATTGTGTGCCCATTTCTAAGATATTTGGCATGTCACATCACTTTGTCGCTTATTTCATATAGACATACATTTATCATGACCTTCAGGTCAAAATTTGCCCTGCCCCAGGAGTCACTTGCTTTATGAAGACTGTGGTATAGGAAACGCATCTTATCTTTTTGTTGATAGCTACTATGCAATAAAACATTGCCTAGTAGACCTCTTTAAATGTTTTATGAATCATGCCCTCACCTTGGAGACCATACAGTATCATAAGGATGATTAAAATAAAAGATTTTTTAGGTAAGTTTCTTGATTTGGGTCTCTTCTCTAATCTCTAATTGAAAAATTATTTTTGATTTCACAATCAAATTTAAATGTAGGCATATGTTGCATTGCGGTGCTGCAGTTGACCTCAGTCTTCAGTAGCTCCTTTAATATTAATAAATATCAGTAGGAATCTGAGATTCATCTGTATAAAATTCATACATCTTCTTGTTTTTAGCCCACCTGTCACAAAGTGACATGGTTGAGCTTTTTTGATCGCTTTTTCCGTGTCCGTCCATCCTTAAACTTTTATTTTAACGGCATCTACTCATAAACCGCTTAGCAAATTTCATCCAAACTTCACAGGAATGTTAATTAAGTGGTCACCTTTAAAAAATTGTTCAAAGAATTTAATTCCATTAAGAACTCTTGTTGCCATGTAAGCCAAAATAATAACTTAAAAAAACTTCTTTTAAAAAACCCAAAGAGCTAAGACCTTAGATATTTGGCATGAAACTTCTTCTAGTTAACAGGACTGAGAGTCAAAACTGAGTCGTATCCTACAAAATATAAACAAAGGTCGTCATCTTGGAACGAAGAAGGTATATTTTTGTTTATTAGTCGCCGGTACAAACCGTTAAATATTATACCTATGCTAGGAGAAGGCCTTATAATATGTAAATAAAAGCATAACAAGTACTGAATAATTAAAGACTATAATTTTTTTCATTAATCTCTAAAATTCAAACATACAATAACGTTGCTCAATGAAATGAAATATTCAAATGTAAACATCCTTAAAAGCAACATTACAATTTATATAAAATGAATTAATGATGTATCCCTATGGATAGGTCATTGAATTTAGGGATGCTATTACTTTTTTCAAAGTGTCAAGCGTTGCTATTTTATGATAAATAAATCATGCATGATATCTTAAATGACACTTTTGAATTATCTGGTTGTTTATATCTTTTGATACATATTCTATTTTATTATTTTATTGATTAAAAACAGTTTCTACCTGTTCCTTTGTAAGAATCACGTGACAACACGTTGTATGTTATTGTTATAAAATCTATAATTAGTAGCAAATGACTGATAAGACAGACATACAGGTAACTTGTGAATGATTGGCACAAGGTATACAAGCTGATAAAGTGCAAATCAAAGTAATTTTGTATAAATAATTACAAAATCTCGGTATGACGGTAGGGGGCCGGAATACACAGAGAAAACTAATGAACTATCTTTGTGTTAGTTTGTTTATCGCACTGAAAGGCACTTAAACGTTAACTTTATTGTATTTAATGACGGGAATATTGATTTCAGCTAAATTATATATTTTTTCGATAATGCATAAGAATAATTTTTTATGCAGACACCTCTTTTACAGTAGAATTACATTGTTTTAAGCAATAATTAAGCATATAAATTTTTAATAGTTACTTTGCAAATATTCGATTATCGCGGTAATAATTTGTCGGTAATTCTCGGATTCTGAAGTAAACCATACGGATTTCAATGTATGGTACAACGGTATATGTTTAAAGTAGAAAAACAAGTAGAATTACAAGACTATCACTTGCTTTACAAGCCTCGGTGACAAGGTGTAAGATTTATAGTTAGTTTCAAATTGAAGACTGTAGGTTCGATAAAGTGATTTTTTTATGTTTTCTTTTATGATACTTTTGTATTTTGCAAAACTTGACTATTTATCAAAATTATGAAATAAAAAAGTGCTAGAAATGAAACACACGATTTATCAACTTCTTTTTCATATAGTTAAAAGATATAATAGAAATCAATTTATGAAAACTTGATGCTTTACAATCAAAAACTCTACTTGTCACTCTTTTCGTTGGAAATGACTGAAACCAGATATATCTATTAACACGCTCAACTATTTTCGGCTTGGTTGGGTACATTTGGATTGCACAACTTTTTTGTCAAACAAAAGTGAACTTGCAACTCGAAGCGGGCCAGAATTTTTATAGGGTTTTGTGGATAAGATGCATTTCAAATAGCTTTATCCATCGTTTTGTTAGTCCCCTACCGGTTTACCGGAGGGGACTTTAGGTTTACCCTCCGTCCGTCTGCCCTTCCGTCCGTCTGTCTGTCCGTCCGTCAGTCCGTCCGTCCACAAAACTGGATCCCGCAATAACGCAAAAGGTACAGCAAATATTTTTATGAAACTTGATATATGGATAGATGGCAGTATGGAGATTATGCACGTCTTTTTCTTTTCTTCCTATGTTGAAAATTCTGGTTGCTATGGCAACAAATAGACTGAAAATATGGCAAATTTTACACATAACCTGGATCCAGTGATAACGCAAAAGTACTGAAAATATTTTTATCAAACTTGATATATGGATAGATGGTAGTATGGAGATTATGAATGACACAATGCTTGTCTATTTCTTTTCTTCCTATGTTGAAAATTCTGGTTGCTTTGGCAACAAATAGAGTGAAAATATGGCAAATTTTACACATAACCTGGATCAAGTGATAACACAAAGAGTACTAAAACTATTTTTATGAAACTACAAATATGGGTAGATGGCAGTCTGGAGATTATGCACATCTTTTCTTTTCTTCCTATGTTGAAAATTCTGGTTGCTATGGCAACAAATAGACTGAATTTCAAGATTTCTGATTCTAGTTTTTACGTTTTTTCACTATAAGTTCTTTATTTCTTAAGGTATTTTCTTCAAACTTTAGATATAAGTTTCTAGTCATCAACCACATCATATGTGACAAGGCCTACAACTCTAGCACAAATTTTATCAGAATTTCCTCCCTTGGACTTAGAATTTTAATGAAAAAAAAAAAAAAAATAACTTTCTTTCTCTTCAAATTCGAAATAAACATTCATTATCAACACCTTCATTACTAATTGTTCTTTGTTACACTCTCACATTGTGTATGACATCTTGCATCTTTTTTCAAGTGTTATCTCCTTTTAAAGAATTTTGCTTTTAAATAAGTTATATATTGATAACAGGGATGTCTTAAAATAACTTTAGAGTGTCCTTCAGTCCATATGTCTGTTTGTACATAAAAACTGTTTCCTGGGATCACTTTAAAAGAATTTTTTCAAGTGAATGGCCAATGGCCCTTCAGAATGTTGCTGGGGTTCTAACCGGTAGGGGACTTATGGATTGCTTGCAATACTATGATAATTGCTTGTTAACATTAAAATCAATTATATACCCGTTAAAGTATTAACCATAAACTTCAAAATATAATTTTACAATTAAGATTTCATTAAAAAGAGATGTTTATTTTGAAAGAAAATAATGATTTGTACAAAATTATACAACACAATTCAAAAGAAAATATGATACGGTGCATTTTTTGGCAGTCTTTTAAACAGGGATAAGTTTGCCAATATAAGTCTTTTTTACTAAAAATCAGTTGTGCTTGATAAGAAAATGTCCATTTACGGTTTATTACGGTGGCACAAAGGTGACATATGTGTGTTTTTATTCATCTCGTGGCCACGAAATACTATGTCGTGGCCACGAGTTAGCAAGTCGTTGCCACAAGATAGCTAAGTCGTGGCGACGAGATACTATGCCATGGCCACGAGTTACTAAGTCGTGGCGACGAGATACTATGTCGTGGCCACGAGTTACTAAGTCATGGGAACGAGATAGGTTAGTCGTGGCCACAAGATAATTAACCAATCAGAATACACTAAATATATTATGATTTTTTAAACTTAACAACTTACTTTTACATGCAACTTGTCTTTAGAACCATATTAAAAAGTCACCTTCCAAGGCCCATCAGACATTTATTTTGACTTTAGCTCTTTGTTGAGATAATTTTGTGATCGCATTGGTCAGTCTGTACGTTCTACGACCTGTAAACATTGCTTATACGATAACATGAGAAGGAATAAGTTCTGGTTTATTTTATTTGTAAGGGACATTGCCCAAGGACGCAAGATAGCCTATAAGGTAAAATCCTTGTCTGGTGAATAATTTATAAGGAATAAGCCATGGTTTAAATAACCCTGAAAGATCATTGCACCTGGTCAGTAGATGACATCTAATACTTTCGAGGTCATTGGCTCCAACATCAGGGTCACAGTGACGCTAAATGTAAAATTATTGACAAGTCAATAAGTTGTATGAATGGCACTTTTACAGGCCGATGAAGTAGGGGTATCCTTATACCATAGCACATGTCTAGTTAGTTAGGGAAATTCACATTAATTGTGTTATCTGATTGATTATTTATCTCGTGGCCACGACTTAGCTATCTCGTGGCCACGACTTAGTAACTCGTGGCCACGACCTAGTAACTTGTGGCCACGAGTTAGCTATCTCGTGGCCACGACTTAGTAACTTGTGGCCACGACATAGTATTTCGTGGCCACGACTTAGCTATCTCGTGGCCACGACTAACTAACTCGTGGCCACGACTAAGTAACTCGTGGCCACGACATAGGACTTTTGGCCACGACTTAGCTATCTCGTGGCCAAGACTTAGTTACTCGTGGCAAAGACATAGTATCTCACACTCATGTCACCTTTGTGCTGCCGTAGTTTAT